AGCATGAGATAAGCAGAACATGAATAAAGACATTATCAAATGCATATTTATAAACAAAAAAATAACTTTTGGAGGAAAAGACAAAAAGTATTTATTTCAAGGAGTAACATCTGAATTTTTTTACGTTATGGTTTTTCATCACAATTGCAAATTTTGACATATTTTTTTTATTTTATTGAGTAAAATAGTAGGATGAAAATCTTTCTACAACACAACTTAAAAGTAGAAATGCAGTACAAGTAAAATTCACATCAATAACTGCAGGGAAGAACATTGTGCGTTATTCCTTCATTGTAACTTGGAGTAACGTTCGTGTGGGCGTACATTTAATTGAAATTAAATGCAGCAATAAATTAATAGCAAGAAAACCATCGAGTGTTATCCGTTTTTAGATAACTTATGCATTACACTATTTGATACATATTAAACTACAGTTTCACGGCATCATTCTTGAAGATAAAATTTCTTACCTTCAATCTCATACGACGAGGCTTTTCTTCGAATGAGATATTTTTTTTGCTTTGTTGACTGCGGGGGATATTCGCCTTTAACTTTATAGTTAAATACCGTTTCATATTCCACACTGTCCATATTTATGATAAGTGTTGACTTAATGAAATACTTGGCTTAACATAAAGCAAAAAGTGATAAACAACCTGCCTAAAACCGAGCGGACATGGACATTTGCATAATTGATTGAAGGAATAGCGTCACGTGATTTTTGACTTTCCAGAAAACACCGTATGTCTTTATATTGTAATGCACTTTCTTAGATGCAATATCAGAAATAAAAATTAGTAAATTTGTTGATTTATCAATCAACAAATTTACAATACATTTAATAAAGATTGTCAAACCAACAGTCATATTTCTTTAAAATATTTTGGACTTCTAACTTTATATGGAAAAATAAAGAATTCACAGAATTTATTTATTTATTCCAATGTTACGGGGTGGACGGATCATTAAAGACATCTAAAATATACGGTTCCCCCGCTTTAACCCTTTCAAAAAAAGGAGCAAATGTTATGAAAATCACAGGATTTGTTGTTGATGATGAGTGGAATTAACACAGTAAAAGACTTGCAGGTAAATTAATTTGTTTCCATTTTAAGTAGGGGGAACAGATTTTATCAGGCGCTTAAGATATTTTGTTCCCCCATCCTAACTTTGGCAAAAATAGAGCAAATGTTATGAAAATCACAGGATTTGTTGTTGATGATGAGTGGAATGAACACAGTAAAAGACTTGCAGGTAAATTAATTTGTTTCCATTTTATATAGGGGGAACAGATTTTATCAGGTGCTTAAAATATTTTGTTCCCCCATCCTAACTTTGGCAAAAATAGAGCAAATGTTATGAAAATCACAGGATTTATTGTTGATAATGAGTGGAATCAACACAGTAAAAGACTTGCAGGTAAATTAATTTGTTTCCATTTTAAGTAGGGGGAACAGATTTTATCAGGCGCTTAAAATATTTTGTTCCCCCATCCTAACTTTGTCAAAAATAGAGCAAATGTTATGAAAATCACAGGATTTATTGTTGATAATGAGTGGAATCAACACAGTAAAAGACTTGCAGGTAAATT